GATTCGCGCCCGCGCCGCCATCACGGGATCTGACACCGCACCGGCAATAAACTTTGGCCTCGTTAGTTCCCCGCATCCCGTTTTCAAAATCCCCATTTTATTTCAACGTTCTTTCCCGGTATACTTTTCCAATAATTTCTTCCAATACCAAAAGTTCGTGAAAATATATTTAACGCTTAATACATAAACGCGTTGGGCAAACTACACTCTTAATCCTGTTAAAAATAAGTTCTTTGTTTCTAGTAAATGATTTTTGTTCACGTAATTCATATTACGTGAAATTAATCATTTTAATATAGAATACTATTGTTTTAATATTAGAAAACAGAGTATTGGCAATGTATATCTTTCATCTGTTAAAGCAATTGCTTCTTTTAAGCAATGGAGTAAAACATTTCGAAATAATGGTTTTTATCCTACTGAGAGTAAAAGTGTTTCTATGCTGCTGAGAATGAATATTTTAATTTTAATAAATTACTGTTTTTGTAGTTTAGGACAATGAACATTAAATAAGCATGTCTAATAGAGTTAATATCATAGCTTGTTTATTAATTTTATAATGTAGCTAAGTGCATTAGCTTTCGATTCGTGGGATAAATTTATTTTATTAAGGGAAACGTAAATTCGAATATTAAAAAATTAAAGAACCCCTTCGTGTACCATTGTCTCCTGTACGTTAGACACAGAGGGATTATTAGGTATACGTGTGTATTTATTTTTATTTGAACATAATTGTTCCCCCAAATAGAGAAGGATTGTAAAACATTTTTAATGTTCGGTCCAGAATGTCGGACTAATCATTTTGTTGAAGCTGTTGGAAGGATCGAAGCATCAATCTTTGCTTTTGAAGCGACGCGCCCGGAACAGCGCAGTTTCCTCGACGACAATAAAGTCGGGGGTTGAATATTTCGTTCGACGACGGCGGTAAGCCGGTTAAATGTCGTGGTTCACCGTAAAAACCCAGTCGTTTGCCGTCCGCGCCGCGCCACCATAAAATAAAACTACGCAACCGCGTGCATATACGCACGCCAACCCCATTATAAGCCGTATAACTTCACGGTCGTGGCGCGAAAACGCGCTTAAGTGCCCAGCCTGCACTTCCCTCTGTTGCCTCCATAAAAGATTCCTCGCTTCGATGTGTCTGAAACCAGATTCGATTTGGCGGGCTCGAGTCCCGAGGTCGCGAAACGCTAAACGTCAAATTGAAATTTAATTGCGAGCATGTATCGATTTTTTTACTTCTACGAACCTCGATCCATTTGGTAGTATTCATTATTTCTGGTGCTGGTCTACAGAAAATTATTATTTATTATTTATTATTATTTTTCTCAAATTGATAAGGAAAATTTAGTTTTGCAGAATCGTTGTGGTTATTGGTATCATCTTTGCTGTTTCATAGAAAATTGTCGTTCTAGTATTTCTTACTCTCTTTTTTTTAATTATGATTATTGACGTAGCATTTTTTTGTGTATTAACAAAAATTAAACAGAAAATTAATCACTTCTCTTTTATAATTCCATTGTAGTTCTACAGAATATTGTTATTTGAAGTTTCAAAACCCAATGTATTATTTGATTCATTTTCAATTCTAAGGTTTTATATTTTTCTGTGTATTTATCACAATTGAGAGAAAAGATCACTGAATTAGTAAATTCTTTCTTCCTTTATCTTGATCTAATTATAGGAAATTATTATTTGATACTTCCAAGCACAAGAAATGCGTTCATGTGGTTTTACAAAAGTTATTATTTAATTTTTTAATGTCCAATATATTATTTGAGGCTTCTTAAATTTTATGGATTTATTACCCTTCTATATAAGGGAATAAAAAAATTAATTTTTCATTCTTCTGAGGATATATCTGTTTTCCAGTTTATTCCTAAGTTTCTTCTTTGTATCGCGTTACTATAAAAAATTATTGTTTCTAAGCCCAACGTATTGCTTTTGTCAATTTCAAGAACTTATTGTCTTTTTGTATGTCTACCAAACGTGGGCGTCGTGGGCAGATAATTGGATACGTTTTTAGAATGTTTGTTATTTCAATTTAATGAAGTGTTCGTGTTTCATCCGTCGTTTGACTTTGATATTTGTTATATCTCCACAAATTATTTTCCTCCCCGTTTATAGACGCGTCTGTTGTTTTTACCGTGAAGAATAAAAATGTTTTCATGTAATGTTTTCTTTATTATCAAGCTTCTTTAATATCCTTTCTTTGTATCGAAAATGAGGTTAATACAGCATTATTGTTTAACTTATATAACTTAATTTTACAATATACTCTTTTCAAAATTTTGTTAGCATTTCCGTGAAACGTCAATGGAAGAATTTATTTCCGAAGAACGATCGCTGTTCGCAGAAAATTCAATTGTTCAAAATTAGTTCACGCACGTCTAATTTGTTAATGAAAATTATTCTTGAAAATCCAACGGCTGCGTTGTTCCGACGTCTCATTAAAAAGAGCTGAATGAAAATCTTCCTTTGAAGGGCGGATTTATTTCACGGAAATCTCGTCAGGTCGAGTTTGGCTTGTTAACAGATTCCCATTCCGAGAAGCAGAAAAATTTCACAGAGTGCTAACATAATTCCTGAACGTACCCTTTTCGAATTTGCAGCCGACGTGGCACACAAAGGATCCGTCGAAAAATGAAACGGCGAGAAATCATTGTTGATCAGTGGCTTCTACGAAAACGGGTTCAAATCAATGCTTGAAAACAAAAACAATACAAACTCCTTGTGTAATCGGTCAATTAAAGAAAAATTAATTATATTTTGTCCAACAATTGTTTTCGCTTGTAACCTTACTATCCTCACTTCTGAATTCTTATTTCCACATTTAATTGGTTGGAATAAATCTAATATTATTTTATTCGAACAAAATTAATTTTAATTAGAAAAAATGGAAAGCTGCATAATATTCATTTATTTTTGCATTTTAGTCTGATAAATGAACGTAGTTGAAAATTGTGGGCAATCACTTTTAAAATGGAGTGATTTACAGTGGTTTAATAATGCTTTATTATCAAATGTGATTTTCTTAATATTAATAAGCAAGTTTGCTAACTGTTCGAGTATTGGGGCACGTCCTGGTTACTAAGTAAAAAAATAAACTATCCGTCTGGCTATCGAAACTCGACGCGATGAAAGGCAAAACGACGAAATCGCGCGTGACAAGCGACCGCGTATATTTCTGCAGGGGTGGCCCCGCGTTTAGCGTCCCCGACATTAACATATTCCGGCCGATTCAGGCCAAACATCGACGCGGCGGCGCCACTCGTTCAACCCCCTTACTTCCGGCACATTTGTGTTTTGTTTCCAGCGAACGCACCCCACCCCCCTCCAGCGTGTCGTCGTTTCGCCTCGCGCGAACAGTTGGCCGCGTTTCTCGCGAAAAAGGAGAAAGGGAAAAGACATTCGGCGGAAAGCGACTGTTGCAGGGGTGGCCAACAATCGGGGGGTTGTTCACCACGCGAAAGGCCTCCGAGGACTTTCAGTTTCTCTATCGATTTATCGCTCGCCCAGGAATTCTATTTATCGGGGTGCAAATAATCTAGGTGGTTGTTAAACGTTAGTTACAATCATTTTGATAAAATATACTTGTTCGTTCGAACGCAACACTGATTCTTGCTAGACGAAAGAAGGGGGATGTTTGGAAAATATTTACTTAATACTCGTTTGTGAATTTTGAGGATGGATGCTTAGGTGCAATTCGTTAAGTATTAGAATTTGTAAGATATTTTAGATATTTTCTCTTTAATATCTTGATACAATGGTTTGTACGGAAAGCTGACTCGAACGTAACTAACTAAATTATTATTAACAAATGATTAATTAATAAAATGAACAACCTCTAAATGCATACTTCACGCGAAACACACATAGATAGTCGGCAATGCCTTTAATCGAAACTCGAAATGTAACTGCACTCGTTAATTACAAACCTAAAGGTTGCTTACAAATTATACACTGAAATATCTGTTTGTAATGTATTCTAAGATGTGATGAATTTCTACGATGTAATTATAAAGACGTACACTATTTTATTTTGTTTAAAGTTCGTACGTGTAATGCTTACAAAGAAGAATCGATTTGTTTTATTTAAGACAGATTTATCTTTTTTTATAGCAAGATGTTAACGAACTACTGATAGAACATTATTAATAAAGTCCTTTCTGGAAGTTAAAACTTCCTACAAAATAAAAAAGGAAATTAACGTATAGAGATGGGCTTCAGCAATATCTAAAATTGTAGATGTCGGATAAAAAATATAAACATTAGCAAAAATGTCTCTGATATAAGAAAATTTCTATTTTTAATTCCTCTATCAGATAGAGTCTCGGTTGAAAATGTTCCCTTTTGTTTTACAGTCAACATTTTAACTTTAATCTTTGGTCTTGAAACAGTTGATCGCGAATGATAGAGTCTGAAAATCTAGAATTTAATATTAGAATTATAAGATGACCATTATTTCATTTTGTTTAAAGTTCGTACGTGTAATGCTTACAAAGAAGAATCGATTTGTTTTATTTAAGACAGATTTATCTTTTTTTATAGCAAGATGTTAACGAACTACTGATAGAACATTATTAATAAAGTCCTTTCTGGAAGTTAAAACTTCCTACAAAATAAAAAAGGAAATTAACGTATAGAGATGGGCTTCAGCAATATCTAAAATTGTAGATGTCGGATAAAAAATATAAACATTAGCAAAAATGTCTCTGATATAAGAAAATTTCTATTTTTAATTACTCTATCAGATAGAGTCTCGGTTGAAAATGTTCCCTTTTGTTTTACAGTCGTCATTTAAACTTTCATTTTTGGTCTTGAAACAGTTGATAGCGAATGATAGAGTCTGAAAATCTGGAAGACTCGATTTCTTCTTAATTATGGCGTTCGATGTTACAAACTGTTAGAAAATGAGCAGCCATCCCTAGTACTGTGTTTTACCACCCGGTGATAATTTCAGTTTGGAGCCAGCGTTGTAACTGTTCGTTTCGTTTCAGGAAAGAGCTTCACCTTGACGATCATGCTCCAGACGTCGCCGCCTCAGGTAGCCACCCTGTCCAAGGCGATCAAGGTCACCGTGGACGGACCCAGGGAGCCCAGATCCAAGACAAGTGAGTGTCGCGGGATTTTACCCACAGTTGGTAATTCCGTGCGGAAGAAATTCCAGCGAAGGTCGCTTAAAACGTTCGTGGATTACTTTTGGTATCACTCCGTTCGTAGACAGAATTGTATTTATTTTTTAACGAAAAAGATCAAAAAATTCGAAAAATTCGTGTCCCATATTCTGACCGTTTATTGCACATTGTTTCACACGAATTGTAAAAACTATTAATTTCTTTTAATTATGAATAATGTTAAGCTTCTTCTTACATCTGGTCGAGAGATCAAATTCATTTTTAAAGGATACTAGTGAATTGTTTCTTCCAACTAAAATGTCTGAGGGTGAAGAAAATATAGGGGATGGTGATATATAGGGGTGAGACGATATATCTAAGGAAAAATATAAATAGAATGGAACATGTTACAATGTTTCTTTTTGAAGTTAAGTAATGAAACTGAAAAACATAAATAAACAAATTCTTTTTCCATAATTATATTTTCTTGTTTAATCATATACAGGCGATAATGGGACGCCTGTTAGCCAAGATGCAACACAAATTTTCTATATTAAAAATTACACTGTAATTACACTGTAATGAAAAGTAAAACAGTTTCGTTTCTTCCTTTTAAGTCCACGTTTTCCTGATTGTACAGAACTGTTTCTCCGTTTCTTCTCTTCTTTCCTTTCATTCTCTTTTTTTGATTAAAATCTCCTCTCTTTGTTCTCTTTTTATGTGTTTGTACCGTATCTACAGTAAAGAACAAAGTAAGTAATATCAATTCGTCGAGCAAGATGAGAATCCATCTTGATATTATCTTGCTACGTACTTCACATATGATTATACTTTTGCAACGCAATGTTAATCATTTTTTACTGAAATTAATTAACAAAGTTAAAACATTCTTAGAATAGTATTTGTATTTTATAATTTAACGCATTACGTATAATTTGAAATTCAAAATAATAAAAATTTCTCTTTACTTTGGGATGAATTAAATGCAAATATAATTTTACTAAACCATATTAGGTACTGTCACCCTAATGTAATTTTATTCTATCATATTTTATGATTCTTTCTTTCCTAATTAGGAAGCACTTAAAAGGCGATCATACTTTTAGTGTTAAGTAAATATTTTAAATATTAGGTATTACATAAATAAAATTTTCATTTTGGAATAATAATTTTACATTGAATTCTATCTTTATTACAATGTCTTGGAAGAATAAATTCCTAGAAATGGTTGATTTGCAAGGTGACTATGATTTGGAAGGAGGTCAATTCATAGTGAGAAAAGGAGGGTTGATTTTGATAAAATCTGTAACGAGTCCTTGTTTCGTTTCAGGACGACGACCAATTTATACTTCTAGTGTCAAGTAAATATTTTAAATATTTAGGTATTACACAAATAAAATTTTTATTTTGCAATGTCATTATTACAATGTCTTGGAAGAATAAATTCCTAGAAATGGTTGATTTGCAAGGTGAATATGATTTGGAAGGAGGTCAATTCATAGTGAGAAAAGGATGGTTGATTTTGATGAAATCTGTAAGGAGTCCTTGTTTCGTTTCAGAATGGTGACCAATTTATACTTAAAAATAAAATTTTTATTTCGTAATATCTTTATTACAATGTCTTAGAAGAATAAACTAATAGAAATGGTTGATTTGCAAGGTGAATATGATTTAGAAGGAGGTAAATTCATAGTGAGAAAAGGAGGGTTGATTTTGATAAAATTTGTAACGAGTCCTTGTTTCGTTTCAGGACGACGACCAATTTATACTTTTAGTATCAAGTGAATATTTTAAATATTTAGGTATTACACAAATAACATTATTATTTCACAATGTCTTAGTAGAATAAATTTCTAGAAAAGCTTGATTTGCAAGATGAATATGATTTAGAAGGAGGTCAATTCATAGTACGCAAAGGAGGGTTGATTTTGGTAAAATCTGTAACAAGTCCTTATTTCATTTCAGGACGGTGACCAATTTATACTTTAAGTGTCAAGTAAATATTTTAAATAATGAGGTATTACACAAATAAAATTTTTATTTCGCAATGTCTCTATTACAATCTTGGAAGAATAAACTCCTAGAAATGGTTGATTTTCAAGGTGAATATGATTTGGAAGGAGGTCAATTCATAGTGAAAAAAGGAGAACACGATCTGTAGATTGGGTTGATTTTGATGAAATCTGTAAGGAGTCCTTGTTTCGTTCCAGGACACCAGGCCTTTCATCCCTTTCACTTTGGACCCAGGCCGTTCCCTTTCGGACACCCGCAGGACCCGTTGGGATTCAAGCTGTCCGGTAAGTGTCCAAGTGTCCCTCGATCGAACACGAACACGCGTGTTCCCTCGGTTTCTGGTCCGGGTCCTACCTGCTCCCTCGTGGCGCACCTTCGGCTTCCAGCTACGTCTCCTCGCGCCGACGGATAACTAAGTTTGCAACCCTGCGTCGCGTCCCCTACCCGGCAGCCACGAAGGCAAGCCAGCCGTTCGTCGCGGCGGCGGGCGTCGCGGCTACGAAGGGTGTCAAAATTGAGCGTCGGCAGGCACCGTACTCAAAATTGAGTTTTGCCGCCGGGCGTCTAAGTGGAGAAGACTCTGATTAAGCTCCGACCGGCTCTGCCTTTTCGTTCGTCGACGCTTCCGCTCCTGCTCGCTCCACGGGGAAACTTTGAACCCCGGGACCGTCGTTTGACGAGCAACTTCTTGCGCCCTCGAACTCGTTCCCGACATTCCCGATCGTCCCCCGACTGCTCGACACGAATTTCTCCCGACGTTACGCTTTTTACAAAATGCACTAAACTAAAGGTTGATTCGTCTGTTGCGATAACGCCGATTAATGGGCATCGCAACGAAGCGATTTCGTTTCAGGAATCAAATGATCGAAATATTACGGGTATTGAAACTCGTTGACAAATTTTTATATTTAAAGTTAATAGAGTCGATGTCGTTCGTTCTCAACTTCTCACATTTCTTATAATAATTTAAATTTCAATGAATATTTGTTCTAGTAATGTGCCATCAAACTTTATAATTAGATTTCTAGTGTCATCCTGCCATATTAATCGGAAAGTATTGTTTGACGCTTGGAGAGGGTCAGGGATGGCCCAACACCCTGTACATTCTTTCGTTAGAAAATGATTGCGTTAACTTGGATAACATGTCATTACAAAATGGTCGTATAAGAGGAACTCCAACTACCCAACACGAGGAAATCCAGTTCACCGATAGATTCAAGAGACACCCCTGTTACTTTACGATATCTCATTAGCTCCCGACAATACACAGCAATCATATACCAGGTGATCCCTTTCAACATGGAAAAAGAATCCCCAGAAAATTCCGTGGGGTTCAAGAGTTTTCACCTTTGGCCGCCCGCGATCCTCCGCGGAGCTAGCCTTACGGACCCAGTTTCCGACCATTTTAAACAAATTTCGATCTCATGCACGAGACTGCAACTTTCTCCGACGTTCCGTGGTGACGTGGACTCTCGATCAACGCAAGTTTCGCCCGACTGGTCGTCCAGGAAGTCATAGTTTTCGGAGGTTGTCAGACTTGATCCGAAACGATCAGAGTTTTATTTCGATCGAACGACGATCGTAACCGAATGACGTCGCAGGCGAATTTCCAAAGGGTTTTCTCGCGGTGTAGCATGGACGGGGGCTGGTTCGGCGGCACGGATTCCAATTCAAATTCGTTCGAAGCTCGAAATTTTGATGGGACTAGCCTCGAGCAGCGAGGGTCGGGTACTGATACTGGTGCACCGACAGTGTATTGTTTCGGCATGATAAGCGGCTTAACGGAGCTTCTCTCCCTGCTGCCCCCCCCCCTCCGGGGGGGGGGGTAGTGTGGAGTAGCAGTCCTGCCGTCGATTTCTCGTCCCTCCCTTCCCTCGTCCCTCACCCCATCGTACCATCCCCATCCCCCGTGGTCTACTCAATCAAGGACCAACGGCTGCCGCGCCCGGTTTCTCGTCCGACTTCTCTCTTCTTTCCTTCAGATTTCCATCGTAATTTCAGCTAACGAGGACGGACGCAACAATTTCCAAGCCGCCTGCATAAAATTGTTCCACGGTAATCGCGAACGGAACCGTCGCAGCCCCGTGTCGTAACGCGGCTGTGCAAGTCGGGGTAAATCGAATTACGGAGGAACGCGAGTTCGTCGCGATGGAAGCCAACGTGCAGGAGATTTTGCGGAGAAACGGGCGCAGCTGGACGAATAGAAAGACGTTTAACACGGAATTTCAAGGGGGATTCGGTCACGATAGTCTTTCCGCTCCTCCAAACAGTTTTTGACGCTACGAATTTATTCGAAACTAACGCGGGGCTCTTTAAATAAGACAAAACATTTTAAATTATCATTTTTTATCGTGATAATTGCGGGTTTTTGGAACGAACAAGAGAAAAGTCCAATGTCGATCATTGTTACTGAACCTCATTGTATTTTTTTATTTTATTATCTATTTTATTTTATTATCTATTTTATTTTATTATTGATTATTAATGCCCATCGTTTCTTTCGCTTTTACAAAATTAATTAATGTTAATATCCTGCACAACAGATTTATTTATTTGTATATTGTGCATTTTATCCATACAGATTTGTTTTATAATAGTTTAGCTTGAAAAATTCACTACATTTTTATTTTCTTCGATTAAAATGTGTCTGGGAATCTAGGTGTTATTGCAATCTTTGATTAATTTTTTATAAATTGTTCTAACAGTATTTTTGAAGATTATTCGAAGCTTGCTCGTAGGACTGACCTTGTTTACTATGATTTAGATTTGTCTGGTTCGATAACTTGATTGAAAATATTATTTGATATTATTTTTTAGTAATTGGTATAAAAATGCAACGTTTGCTTATTCGATTATCAAAGTATTTCAGTGGAATTACGGAAACACATTAAAAAATTTCTGCTTCAAACTTTATATCCTATTATTTTGCTTTATATTATTTCAGCCACTGAGCATAATTTCACTTGTCTTTCTGGCGATTGTGCTACCAAAATTACCTCAGGCGTGGTAGTCGACTGGTTAATGAAAACACGGTCCAGCAGATTTGATACAATTTAACATCGTAATATGAGAGAGTTTATGACTTTATTACGGAAATTTATATTCTATGGATGCCTTTTTGGGTTACCCACAGAATTATTATAGATGTATTTTCTATCGGAAATTTTTTAAATCATCGTTCATTCATGAAATTCTATATTCTTCGAAGACTGTATTGATTCGTGTAAATTTTAGGTATTAACAAAAGTGGCCATTTTATGTACAATTTAATACTTCCAGTTACACGTCTGTATGTCCGTGTAATTGCACATGCGACTTTGAATTCCTCGTGACTTCAGCGAACTTCTCGTTTGGAAACTCGCTATCATTCGTCGTCATGAACAGTGACTTGATCCACTTCGTGTTCCGTCGCAAAGTCGCTTGATCTATGCTGTATTATACTTCAAAGTTGATTGTCAGTCGTATAGAATCATCCGATATGGAATATGCTACAAACACTTGTCATGAGTTCACGCCTATTGACAAGTTTCTGTCCCATTATTGTCAACACCTTTAAAGACACACAAGAAACAACCTTCTAATTACTGTATGAGAAGTATAAGTTCGACATGATTCGAAATGCTTCTTAAAAAGCACCCATGAAGGTTCAGAATTCATTTTGTACATTCACAGTTGAGAATCTTCTGATTTTTTTTTAACATACACACAAAGGTCCAGAATTAGAACTTCATTTGTATATTTTTTTTTATAGTTGTTTCTCTCAATTCTCCCATTCACCCATGAAACTTGAGAATTTTTACTTGTACTTTCTTTCGACTATCATGAAGGTTGATAACTTCTACTGTAATTTACACTGTAAGCTTTCCTTTGACAATTTTTCCTTGGTATTTTCCAGCTTGCCCAAAGGCTAAGCGTTTATTCCTGTATATTTTTGAACTCTCATAAAGATAGAAAACTTCCCCTTACATTTTCCTATTTTATTTTAATTTCTGTTTAGTATATATACACCACGAAGAACTCAAATTCTTTTTCCACCCTTGTGAAGATTGTCCTCTGTTTCAACTATCCCAACCAATCTAAAATTGAAAATCATTCCTCATAATTCTCACCCTTTATGAAGATTGACCATTTTCCTCCTTCAATTTATGAACCCTTGCAAAGACAATTTTCTTCTCCATATTTTTCAACCGCCAAACTGGTAACGATACAAATACTTAATTACTACAAAATATAGACAAAGGTATTCTCTCATCCTTTATTTCAACCCCCACATTAAACATCCACCAAATTAAAAAAAAACATTTCAATTGTTTACAATATCGTAAAGACGCGAGAATAGTCCCTTTAGAACTTTGGACCGAATTTCATGCGTTCACCGATCCAAAAACAACCCCCTCTCTCCATCGAGGAAATTAGATCGGTACGGAAGTTCCGTTCGGGTTCGTCTTTCGCGTTTTCTGCAACCCCCCTCGCGTTTGCAACTTTCTCGCGCTCGGTTCGCCAAGTACAACCCACCTCGACGATGGACCAAAAAACGAGCTGCTCGCGCGTTACTATCGCGACCAGGTCCGCGATTCCCGTTTAAAGTAGACAGCGTGCACGCGTGAAACTGGGTCGTGCACGTTGTCGCAGTCGCGACCGACATCACCCGCGCGATCGATCGGTTTATTCCCAAGCGATGTCCGCCACTTTTTCAACCCTTTCGCTGGTAGTTCAACGTCCCTCTCACAGGTTGCGCCTCCGTCCAGTTCGCCGTTGGGGTCAGTCGGCCAGCTTTTGAACTTTCGCCATCCCCTGAGCGGCGGTTGTATCGCTGCCCAGATAAAGATGTGTTCCGAGCGCTGGTTTATTAGATATCCGCGCCGGTGGGGGGGTTGATAAGAGGGATGGGGAACCGTCGAGAGACGGCTGGCTACCCGACCAGGGGTTGTTAAGGTGCCCATTGAGGTGTAACTAGGGGGATGTTATTAAATTTCGTTCGGGCCTACCTCGAGGGGACGGTTGAATATCATGGCCTCGACGCGAAAGTCCAAGTACGGGAGCCAAGGGTGTCTTCTTTCGCGGCCATTCTGGTCACATTGTTCTGGTTCCTCCGGCATGTACAGAACGTGATTGGCCATCGAACTCGCCAAGTCAGTTTTATTTTATTTTGTCTCGGGACAGAAGCAGCCAGGAGGGTCGCTGGACATTTCATTGGACTCGTGTATCCGAAGGGATGGAATTCTTACTGCTATTTTCAGGGCTCGATGATTGTTCGAACCTGCCTGTATTGATAATTAACCTT